ATTGAACTACAATGCATGGATTACTGTTGGAACCATCTTCAACTTCTTCGTCTTCCGTTACAGGAAGCAATGGTGGCAGAGGTACAACTATGTGCTATCTGCAGCACTTGATGCTGGGGTTGCTTTCATGGCTGTATTGATATACTTCTCAGTAGGACTTGAGAACAAGAGTATCACTTGGTGGGGAACTGGTGGTGAACACTGTCCTCTTGCAACATGTCCTACTGCTAAAGGCATAGCAGTAGATGGTTGCCCTGTACACTGATTAATTTTCATGCCTCTAAAAGAAAACATAGGTGTTACCGGTCAAAGTTTCAGAATGCTATGATAAAAGAAACATGGTTAATGGTTTTTTTGCTTTCTCTCTTATTCAGTTTTCATGACCTATTCAGGCCAAGTTATCAATGCACATATGGCCATTTGAGAAGAAGATAATAGTGGAAACTTGTTTGTTTATCTTAAGTAGATTGTAGCGTGGATAGAAGACACTACTCAATGAACATATTTATATACATATAAAACAAGCTATGTTTTTGTTTTTGTTTTTTTGTTTTTGTCTTTTGCTTTTCAGTATCATTGCTTCATAATTGGTTTGGTCTTCTTAGCATGTGTACCTGTATTTTTTTAATCATCGAAGTCATTTTTTTTTCTTGATTTATTGGCATTGTTGGGACAAAATCTCAAGAAGTACGGATTGGGATTTAAAGCCTCTCATTGACACATACGAGACCCACTGTAGTTTGGCCATGTGATCTCTACTTATCTTTTTAAAAGTGTATCTGAGATGTATTTATGGCCAAAACAAAAAATTCATGCGTTCAAGAAAGAAAAGAGTAATCAATTATACTAATGATAATTGGAAAAAAAAGAAAGTAGAAATATGTTTTTTGTTTTTTTTTGTTTTTTAAGAATTTGTGAGTTTATCTGGTTCCCTGTACACCCAGTTATATGCAAAATATGATTGCTTATTTTAATGATTAATTGATAATTATATGTTAACAATATATAACCATGCTCCCATTATCAAAATGGATCCAACCATGCAATTGCAGGATTTAGAATATATTCATGAACTGGTTGATACATGTACATACGTATGCATAGGATAAAAGAAAAATTTGACCCTTAAATTATAGATTTAAGAGCATCTAATATCCTTTTTTTTTTCAATTTTTCCTTCAACATTTAAAAACATAATAATATTTCCCTTCCAGTTAATTATAGGTGATGTCTGCTAGTCTAATGTTGTGAAGCCCACATTTTTTCTCATAGAGCTTGTCAGTCAATATTCTTGTAATTAACAAGAGAGGCATATTATGATGTTTTTAAATGTCGAGGTTTAGAAGAAAAATTGTCATTTATACATATACAAATGCATGCATATACTTGTATTCATATATTTAAAAATATTTTTTCATAAGGATGTGTCTGTTCACATCTTATCTTATATTCATATAATATTCACATTCTCTCTAGTATTAAACTTCCTAACCATCTTTGTGATACCATTGATGCAAAGCTCATTGATTTCTTGTGGGAATATAATGATGGTAAGAAAAGCATTCATTTTGCCAAAAAGGGAAATTCTTTTTACCTCTACCAAAAAGGGTGGTCTTGGCTTAAGGAACACTAAGCACATGAATCTGGCTTTCTTGGCCAAGCAAACCTAGAGAGTGATTGATGTTGAAGAGCATTATCTTCTAGGCAACATAATCAAAATCAAATATTTTAAAAATTCTAAGGGGTAATTGTTGAAAATACCTCAAAATACCTCTTGGTTTAGAAAGGGGATCTTCAAAGCCTCTAACTTTACTAAGAAGCATTTTTTTAGCATGTTGGTAATGGAGAGTCTATTTTTCTCTCCCATGAGTGTTGGTAGAAGCTAAACAACAAGGATCTAACTTGTGAGAGCTTTGCATTTTCAATGTCTCTAAATTAATCATCACAAACCCATCCCCTTGGATAGCGGCCAAGTGGAATTCCTCTCTCATTCACAACTTTTATGTTGGGGATGATGCAAATTTGCTCTTGAAAACTCCTATCTCTTTTCCTAAATTGAAAGACTCTCTTACCTAAGGACCTGGAATTTATACTATCAAGGAAAGCTTTCAAATAGTATCTATCTCAACTCAAGATAGTGCTTTATATAAATAAAGCATTTGGAGCTTCATCTTCCATTTAAAACTCCACTTTTTATTTAAAAGCTTGTCCACGAGGCTATTTTTACAAGGGATATCTTATAAAAACACCATCTCAATTTCACTTCGCAATATATATTTGGCTATAACTTTTCAGAGTTTCTCAATAACATGTTTTGTAATTGTCCTTATATTATAGCTATTCAGTTTGGCTCTATGTTTACACGCTCCTTTGATTTCTTAAATATGAGGTGTATTTCTTGGATCATGCATATTTCTTGTGAACTCCATCATTAGCTCTTGGAAAGCACATATTTTTCTAACTCATTTGATATGGTTCTACAAAAATCAAGCTTTACATATAGGAAAGATTACTCTTATGGACCAAATTACTCGTCAATTTCAGGGAGATTATTTTCTCCTCACAAATGCATGCAATTGGAAGAATATTTGTTGTACAAGAATAATTAATCGCTATAGGTATCAAGAGGAAAGATCTTCACCTTTTTTGCTTTGGCCTCATATTCAACTTGATCTTTCTATTTGGAGAATCAAGCTTCACTTATTCAAGAAACGGAAAAAAGGCGCACTGTGCTGTTCATTTGTCTCTCGATGGAGAAGATCGTACTACAGTGATTTTTCCACTTACCTGAAACTATATCTCCCCACCTTTTTCTGACTCTCTGTTTTTGGACTCTTCTACTTTGGATTCAAAATTTCTCTCAAAGGCTCTTTCAAGATTGGCTAAATCTGGAAATCTTGCATGTTTGGAACAATAAGGGAATCTGCTTCTGCCTTACATGAAATCACCTCTTGGATTAGGGTATCCTTCGGTCCTTGCAAGTCTTCGTCAGCTGTAGAACTCAGAAGAGTATAGTGCAATATATTTGTTAATATATTTGCCTTTTTACCAAAAGAAAAATGTGTGCATTTATTTTGATACTTGATAAATTTGAACCATTGCAACGGTGGATTTTCGGCCATTGATAAGCTTGAAGCTCTACAAGTAAAGAAGAGGAAAGGCCCATCACATGGCCGTGTGGGAATCATAGAATGAGCTAATTGGGCCATCTTTGTGGTCACTAGTTTGCATCTTATGTGTTCTATCTGTAACCACTCAATGGCGAGCGTTTTCTTCTCTTGTCACAAGGATGGAAATATTTGGTGCGTAGTTTCCATATGAGATTATTGAAATTTGATAATGCAAGTTATGACTATAGATGATTGACACTTCAAAATTGTTTATACACGTATCATGAGAATTTTCATTATGTTTTAATTAAATTGTCATTGATATATTTAATTGGGAGATAAATAAACAAATAGAGCACACTGAACCAGTGGAGGAGATAGATATAAAATAACCAACAACTTAAACTGTGTGTCTGAATCTGTGGTATATTATTAAAGTGAATTTATGGTAACTTTCAGAAGTTTTGTCAGTAAAAAAGCTAGAACCTTTATTAGTTTGTTGGGGTGAAATTTTTCCAAGGCAAAAGTGTGATTTTAGTTTTAGTCTTCTAACACCAGTACATTACAGTGGTATTTTGATTTTTAAATATTTTTATGTTTAATCTTATATTATTATTGTTGTTATTATTTTATTTTTATTTTATATAGTAAAGTATAAATTTTTTACTGTTCATGAAACAGTGGATTTAACAGTATTGTTTAAAAAAAAAAACTAACGCTTGACCATAACTATTGACATTTAAAGTATATTTTTACACAGTATTTTTTTAATATCATATTAATATATTTTTACTTATATAATTTTCAATTTATCTTTTGATTTTTCTCACAAGTTGAAAGTTGAGAAGTAAAATAAGGTGTTTATTTTTTTAAAGCATGTACAAAAATAAAACAATCATAAAACATTGACGAGTTATTATTAAAATAATAGTTTTTTTTAATGTAACATTTTTTAAAAATATCTTTTCTACTCACTGGTGACCACAGTGTTCGGCTTAAAAATTCATAAGTCATAAAGGTGAAATTTAAAGCTTTTTTGAAAGTGAAAGCATGTCCATATATTAGCGAGGGGGGAGAAACTAGATTTATGTTTTATTTGCCTTGAGTCTGTGTTGTATAAAAATATGCAGACACAATAAATAAGTATTTGATCTCACTTTTAATTCTATATTTTATAAGCTTCATTGGGTTGTTTCAAATTAGTATTTTATAAAGCACTATAATTATTATTAAAAAAAAAGCACTATACTTTATGTAGCTTTATTAGGTTACCGGTCCCCTTTCATATAAATCTTATCATCTTTTTTATTATTTGTGTATCATTAGAATATGTAGTTGAATTTGACCTAAATAGATTCAAGACCAATTATTGTGTTATGAATCCAGGGTATGATAAACTCAAACATTTTGTTTAATTATTGTTTGGAATATCAATACAATGATATGTCTTTCAAATATATTTTCTGGAATTTTCTAATTGTGGCTTTACTTTGCCTTTTATAAGGGAAGTGGTGATGTTCATGTTAAAAAAAATTTAAACCAATCCAACTTAAATATATGACTAAAAGTTAATTTTTGTTTGATAATTTGTTATAAAGGTTTTTTCTAACTGTGAACTGTAACACACCAAATTTTTTTTTTAAATAATTTAACTCAACCATAGTTGGGTTACAGCCACCCAACACATTTTTATATCAATAATTTCGATATAAAATATTTTATAATTGGCTTCAACTCACATACTATAACATTTCAGATAAATTTTTACCTCCCACATGCCATTAGGCTAATTCATATTTGTCCATCCTTATACTCCCAACAAGTAAAATAAGCAATTTAGTCAATTTTCAACACAAGCCAGTTATTTGGCCTTATAATCATGCCATTTTAACCAATCCAAAGTAAACCAAATATTAAAATTACAGTCATCCAAATTGTACCAAAAATAGAAATAGTTTGAAAGGCATGATTACATTTATATATTCATATAATTGACAATAAACATAAAAAAGTCCTAATATTGGCAATATAACACATTATAAATCATAAATTAAATACCCAAAAGAGACAGTGGATCTATACTACTAAGCCTCTGGGACTCCTCTACGTGTCACTCGTGGCTCTTCTCCTGAAAATTGTTAACCACATAATGAGACTCAAAAGTCCCAGTAACCAAAGCCAATTTATGATAGTGTATACAAACAGTTAAGTGTGTGCTTACTAAGTGAGAATTAAAAATAATATAATTCCAACAAATATAAGAAATATTATAATAAACACAAACAACCATCCTTATATCCCTCCATTAACCTCGAGCCGTAGCCCTCACTCGGTGCTAAATTACCCGGCCAAAGGTAGATTAGCCCGAGCCCTTACAAGCCACCTATTGAGCTCCAATAGGGGCGTACCACGTGGCACATAAATACAACAATAATAGCAAGTCTCCCAACACCTCCCACAATAATTAAACAAATTCATAATAATATTGCACAATTATACAATATTACAAAATTCATAATTTTCTCAATAATCACCCAATTAACAAGAAGTAACACTAATTATAAATTAAAAGCATGGTTACCTTGTGGCTTTTTCAATAAATTATTCCTTAAAATTTCTCTCTCTCCACAATCTTCACCAGTAATACAATCTACAAATAACATATTATTTATAAATATTAGTTTCAATTTTTTGAAACTAATAAAATAATTCTAATAATAGAATTAAAAATATAACATAATTCCTAATCTCAATCTTAATACAAATCTATAGTTAATACTATTAAGTAAAATTTTTAACTCCTCTTTTAATTATCAATAAACATTAATAATCTAAAAATCAAATTTTAAACTAATTTCTATTATCAAAATTTTCTTTTTATTTTATAAATTTGTACCTAAAATACCCAAAAATTAAAAATTGAGTCTCTAGCTTAGAATCATAATCCTATAACCATAATAATTCATTTCTCATCCCAAATAATCATCTAAACCTCAATAAATCAACATATATTTTCAGATCTAGTTTAAAATTTGATCCATAAGCCACAGATTCAAAGATTATCAATAAATTTATACTCTAGAACATTTATTATACTACTGACAACCTCAAAAATCATATTTATTCAACATAAATTCATCCCTCTTCCAGATCTTAAATTTTCTACCACTACAAACTCAGAAACTAAATAAGAAGGATGACTAAGAAAAATTTTTAGAACACTTACTTAGTCTTGAAAAGCTTAAAATCACACTCTAAATATCCTATTAAAAACTCTTACCTTAAAAATTTAGATATTTCGCACCGGCAACTCGCTTCTCTCCGCCTCAGCTCGCGCGCAGAATGAATGAGGAAATGAAGGAAGGTGAGTTTTTATAAAAATTCAGTGGGTCCCACACATTTTTTTTTATTATTATTTCTTCTTCTCTTCTTCCCCCCTTTTTTTATTATTATTTTATACTTACTATTCATGCGGCGCCGAAAGCAAATTCGTTTTCTCTTCTTCTTCCTTTTTTTTTGTCATACCTTTTTCCCTTTTTTTTTATTATAATAATAATTTAATAATTAATTTTTTTTAAATTAATTTTTTTATAAATTTATTTATTTTTTTTAAATTTAGAATTATATCCTAAATAGATTTAATAATCATTTTCTACTAATTTTCTTACCTCTAAATATTATTATTTTTTTTAAAAAAATTTCTATTAACCTAAATTAACTATTAAAATTTAAATTGGGATGTTACATGAACACTATTATGATCATACATTGCAACAAGATAGATGATGGATGCCTTTTTTTTGTGCATAAGTATTCTCTATTGGAAACAATTTTGTTCAAAACACAATCAAAAACTAAATGTAGACACATATTTAATGGGATTAAGACTTTGGTTACTCAAGTCATGGGGGACTAATCCATTCCACTTGTGTATATTAAAAAAAGAATATATTGTCGAAGAGTTTTATATAAAATCTCTTGTAAATGATTTTAAAGACATGAAAGGGAAAAGGGTTAAACATTTTTTATTAAAAAGAAAGGCTAATTTAAAATATTATTAGTTAAATACTTAAATGTTATGTTATTTTTTTTATTAAACATTCTCCTAGAATCCAAAACCAATTTTACCCTAATGAGAGTGACATTATATTAAGCAAAAACTTCTCATAATGTCCAAAGACAAACAAAAAGGAGGGGGAAGAAATAGGCGAACTTTTCCTTAATCTCGTGCTTCGCATAGAGCATTTTCTATTTATATTATATTTTACATATGATTATAAGAATTTCAATTAAAAAGTAAAAACTAGGACAAACAACATGTAGAGAGTTAGGAATAAAATTATATACAAATAAGGACCTTAAATATAAAAAGTAATATCAAGGATCTTGGTCTTTATTTGAAATTAAAAATGCCAGGAGACTGACAAATAAAAACTTTATAAGAATATTAATATTAAATTAAAATTTTTCAATACTGATATTTTCAAATTTCAGTACTTTCTCTACCGTCTTTTAGTATTAAAATTTTTAATTTAACGTGAATATTTTTACAAAGCTCGTTCTCCCTAAAATGCCACTGAAATCTTGAAAATTCTACCCCCTCCACTTCTAACCATTTCTTAAACGACCACGCTGCTGGCGACTTTTTTAATTTTTTGGTACCTTATCTCCATTGAGAGGATTTCAATTCCCATGCTAGAAGGTTAAAAAAAAAAAAAATTAACAAGTACTATTTGCAAGATCCAATTAACACATTAGGGATGAATCTAGTGTATATAATAAGAAACCAAAAGAATTGCCGACTCAACCATAATAACTAGGCTATCATCTCGATAATCTTATAAAATTACTCCGTTCAGTTTAAAACATAAACAACTTTTTCTAAAAAAATCAGTAAACCAATAAAGTTCTTAATATCATAAAATATACATTGTTTTTTATTTTTAATCTCAATTACAAATCCGCTTCATAATAAGTGAAAAATACAATTATATAAGCATCTATATTTATAAATATAAGGGGTAAAATGAGGAAAAATTCTTTTTGCATGCGTGGGATTACTTATATTTTGAATCAATATTAACTTGTGGAAAATGCTAATATTTTGGATAGGAGGGAGTATATGACTTTTGGTGGGGAAATGCACACTAAATTAGGGTTAGAGAGAGTGACTAACCTAATTAATACTCTCTTCAGACCACAATATAATTCATTATTAATTAATTTATACAATATTTTTCAAAAAAAGTTTGTTAAGGTCTTGTTTTTTAAAAATTTTTACCTCTTTCCAATCATGTCCTCTAGTATGATAAATATAACATTTAATTTATTTAAAACACCCTCATTGATTACTTAATAAAGTAAGGGTATAATTTAAAAAAATATAACATTTTTCAAATACTTTATATTTTGAACCAATTAAATATTTTTAAAAAATGAGTTATACAGTGGTACGAAGGAAGTAATTGTTATTGAGCCTACTCACTATCGACTTTAATTAATAAGGTTAATGGCGACACTTTAGCTGCTAACCAAACTTAAAAGATCGCACATCAAGCTGGTTAAGTATACCTAACTGGGTTTTGATATTTGAGGGATCTCCAATCAATTTGTTTAAACAAATCAATAAAATGTTAATTAATATAAGCCCACACATAGATTTCCAACACTATTCACAAGTTCACCATTACCCATCCACTAATATTTACAAGTAAAATTTAAATGTATGGATATGAAATTAGAATTGTTAAAAAATGGAAGAATCACATTTAAGGACATTTCAAAAAAATTATTCATAAATAAGGAATAATAATAAGTTTCATTCCCACAAAAAAAAAAAAGCATGATACGTTTTTGTTTTAATAATAATTTATTCTGTATTGATCTTTATTTGTGAATAATATTTTTGAGGATCCTTGAACGTGATTCTCCCTTAAAGAATTAACAATTGTCTCAAATAAATTTACAAGCTCTTGCCTATGGCATTTATCGGTATCTTTTCAGTATTCAAATGTCATGACCCTTAATTTTTTGAGAGAAACAAAGTTCAATATAGCTTTTGAATTGATAAATTTAAATTTAAATTTTTGATTTAAAATCTTCTATTTAAGATTCATGCATTTAAATTTTTTTCGGATAGTATAAAAATTTTCAAAAGTTAAAAAAAAAAGAGCTAAGATTTGAAGCAGAAATGAAAGATTGTAATTCAAAAGCTTACTTCTGTTATTCAATTGATTAAAAATAAAACAGGAGATGAGAGAAGTAGCAAGAATAAACAGAGATAATGATATAAAAAATTATAATAAAACATGAATTTATAGAATTTTACGTGTCCAAAAAATGATTGTCAAAAACAAATTTAAATTTTCATAAATTTGAAACGCACCTTCAAGAATTTGTTTGCAAAAAAAAAATAAAGAAGTGGGAGTGGAAGAGTGGACGCATAATAATAATAATAACAATAATAACAATTATCAAAGTTAAAAAGAAAATAATAAATGATGAAAAAAAAGAAAAATGTGATTGGCAAAGTGGCAAGAAAATTAAAAGAAGACAAAAAAAAAAGAGAGAGACAAAAGAAGAAAAGTAAGATTTAAAAAAAACGTAGTCATGACAAGAAAATTAAAAGAAGATAAAAGAAAAAAAGTAAATCATAATAAAAGAAAAATCAAACACAGAAAATAAATTAATCTATAAGTTTTTGTTGTTATTATGTCATCATAGTCATGGGCATCATTTTTGTTTTTGGCCAGTTGGCCATGGGTATTTGAAGTCCTGCTTTTAAAGTGTTGCCAGCATAAAATAAAAGTACAAAACTCAACAAATTAAGCAGCTTAGAGTTCCTTTAAAAAAACAAAATAAATAATTTAAAAATTAAAATATATATATAATCATTTAACTTTATATAAGGTTTTAATTTAATTTTTTTAATTTTATAAAGTATCACTTCAATCATTTAATCCTAATACTATTAGTTTCAAATGATTTTTTTTGCTAATCATTATTATTTTTAAAAAAATTAAATTTAATATGTTAACATTTGAGAATATTTTTCAATATTTGAAAGTTTAATGTAGAAGTTTTTTGTCAATGAAACTTTCAATATTAAGATTATAGGACTGAAAATATACTTTATAAAATTAAATGATTAAAATAAAATTTTATATAAAGTTAAAAAATAAAACATATACTTTATCTATAATTCAAATTATTGGAACTTTTGGGGGAACACAACGGAGATAGTCCCAAACTGATAGGCCACATCCCTTACGGCATGCACTTTAATTAATATATATATATATATATATATATATATCTCTCTCTCTCTCTCTCTCTCTCTCTCTCTTTTTAAATGACCACTTGCATTCAGTAGTTGGTTCACATTGTCCGCCTTATACATCAGAAGATTATTAAATTTTAATCCTATAAATTAATTCATATTTTTGAAGATTATTAAATTTAAATAACACAATTGATCAAATGTCCCTAGTCACAGTACAGTAATCTCTTCACTGAGCACTGGAGAGAAGTGACATTGGAACACACATAATTGTGAGTAAAGTCAGAAAGAGACGCAAACTCAAATTACCAACCAAAATTAATGATAGACGATAGAGCTCAAAACGAGAGAGTATAATGTAATGGCTTGTCTTGCCCATGCCCCACGCTGTCTAGATTCATTGAATGAGAGTTAAGCTGAATTAAGCTAATTAAAAAGCAACACTGTAGTAAATTATCAACCGCATAATCTGTGGAGGCAATGTATTGAGACACATTCAAGATAGCACCTGCACCAGATGTCCCTTCATTAGCCTTTCATTTATGTTTACAGAGACATTCGAAGGTTATAATTAAATTAGAGTATTGTCTTGCTGCAACATTTATTGATCACTCTCTAATCAATATCCAGATAGCCTATTTGAATTTTAGTTAGATATAGTAATTGATTATAAAAAAATTAATTAATATAATTGATTTCAATTATAATTAATTATGTTATAATAGAAATATGTTTAGATTTTATTTCTTAAAATTAATTTTGATAGAATTAAATACATTTGAATGATTTTAATCAAAATCAATTTTAAATGTATAAATTATAATAAAGGACATAAATTTTTAAAAAAATTTAATTTAATATACGTGAAAATGAATATATTTAAATTTAAATAAATTTATTAAAAGAAGCGGCTTTATGCAAAACGGCTATTGGAAAGAAAATTAAATTTAATCAGAGTCAATTAACCTATATTATTATTATTATTATGTCATAGTCGTGGGCTTTTTTTTTTTTTTTTTGGGCAGTTGGCCATGGTACTTGAAGTCCTGCTTTTAAA